CATGGTAGCTCATGGCAACCCACTGCAACCCACTGCAGCAGGGGTTGCAGCCTACACCATCGCCAGCAACTCACGGCAACCCAGCTCCAGGTTGAGCTGTTGCTCAGCATCTTAGCTGTAAAGGGCAGTGTCACTGGCCCTCATATGTGGGATCTGAACTGGGGCCCTCTGGCGTCCCAAGCCAGCTCTTAACCAACACGCCACTCGGCCGGCCCCATAATAGTTCTTGAAATCAGGTGTCCTTAGTATTCCAACGTTGTTCTTTTTTAAGTTATTTTGGCTATTCTAGATACTTAGCATTTTCATATGAATTTTAGAATCAGGGTGTCAATTTTAAGATTCTGCTAATTGCACAGAATGTCATTAGAGACTTCTAAGACCAAATTTTCATAAAATATCATTTATTGAATCCTCTAAATTTAATAGCACCAAAGAGCACCTCTATTCTAGGCAGACTGAAGGCTGGCTTATTCTGCAAATGACAAAGACTAAAGTTTCCTCTATTTTTAGTAATAGCTGCTCTTCAGTGAGCCAACTGTGTGCCAAGCCCAATACTGAGGTTTCCATGCATTAAGTCCTTCAGTCCTCACCACAAATCTATGAGGCCAGTGCTACTGTCTCCATTTTACAGATGAAGACACTGAGGCAAATTTAGTGATTCAAGGTGCTCTATAAATATTTGTTCAGTAAATAAATCCATGAATCTGTCCAAGGCCACACCAACTATTAAAGGAGCTGAGACTTGTTACTATATTGTTTCCTTCTGTACTTTTTTTTTTTCCTAATTTTTGGTAGGGAGCGGGTGTTGGGGAAAGCAGGCAGCGTAGCTGCAGGAGGAGGTGAGGGAAGGAAGGTGAGGACGGCTGCCGAAGAATTAAGAATTACTAGATACTGGCACAACGACCTCATCAGTTGTCTTACCTAACCCTGATTCTGTTTTCATGGAATAAAAAGGCTCAAATTCTTTAGTAAAGCCTGCCTTTTCCAAAAATGAGAACAAACAAGAGCTACAGCCTGGATGTGAAAGCAAAACCAAGCTCTTTTTTTTAAAAAAAATTATTTTAACAACATTAGTTGTGTTTTCTAAACAATGAAAGTGGTTTATATTACTTGCAGACATTTTGTAAAATATAGAAAAAAAATCAAAACTGCACATAATCTCAACACTTACAAGGAAGCATTGAACATTTTGGAAACCTCAGTAATCATTTTTGCCATCTCATTTGCATTAGCAGGTGGTTTTGCTTTTTTTTTTTTGCTAAGCCAAAAGAGAGGCAGAATAGCTTGCTCCTGTGGCTGGTGCCTCAACAGGAACGGAGACAAACCTTTGCTCACATCTAAAGAGTCAGCAAAATGCTACAGAAACAGAATCAAACAGTGGTGAGCTGTTTGATTCAAGCAAGGTGCAGACAGGTGTGAACAGAATGAAGGTGCTTCTAACAGTCTTGTTCTGGGTGAATAAGAACGCACACTTGGTCTTTGGGGCCTCTATTTTCCTGGCCTAGTTTAGATGTTCTTTTCCATAACTGAAAAATTTGAAAATTTTTCCAGAGGTAAACAATGTTTTCCAATTGAAGCAGTTCTTTTCAGAAATTTACAGGGAAAAAGCTGAGTCCTGGTCGCTTTCTTTTATTAGGCAAACAACTTACCTATTCTTATGAAAATGAAGTCTGCAAACAAGATTACTTTATTAAATCACCACCCCCTCAGCTTTTCTCCTCCGTGGTAAGTATTCACTGTGTTTTCACAGGCCTCCCACCAGCCTCATTAGCATTTTTAAAAATCCTTTCTCTTCCTCTGAGATTTAACTGAGATGCAAAATGTTTTCACTTTTTCAGAACTCTTGGAAAAGGCGGTATTTCATTCTGTCAAGGAATGGGGAAAAGGGCTTTAGTCTTTCCTATTACAAAGACAATCATCACAGAGGGTCCATTGAAATTGATCGGTGTGTATCCAATCAAGAAAAAGTTTATAACAACAAATACTAACATGTTGCACGCACATTGAAATTTAAATCATTGTCTGAAGGAAGCAAGGTCTTCCCACTTATATTTGTTTGCTGAGTAGAAGCTAAAATGGGGAACATTTGAGTAAAAGATAGCTAAATAATTATTTCATATTGTGTATTCTAGTTGATAAATTATTAATTAATGAGCATTTAGTTACAAAAGACTTTAATTTACTTCATTTATGGATGAGAGAGAGCAGATGAAATTATCATTTCACAAAGCCCAAATAGATTTTTAAAAATATTTAGATTGGCTTTTTTGGTCTTCTCTTTAAGAAATTATGTGCAAAAGAATATTCAAAAACATGATAATTTGTGGGACCAAGAATCCAATTGAAATAGGAATTTTTAAATTAAGTTCATTGGAACAAAGTATTCTCAATCAGTGAGGAACCAGATCTAAACTTATTTTCTAAAGTGATTAGATAATTTTCAAAGCATTGATCAATCAGATCTAAAGTTTTATTTAATTTGAATCCTAACGGAAAACATTGGTCAGTTTTCTTCCTAATTCTATATTTGCCTCTGTTTAATACTTTTTGTCTATATCTAATAGAAGTTCCAATGTAGAAGTTGGCATAAGTAGCCATGAAAAAATGCAGTCCGTCCAGAAGATGTTTAAATGCCAGCCTGATGAGGTGATGTCCATCACAACCACTAGCAGGGAATATGTCCTCATTAGCTGTGATAGGTGAGTTGTAAGATAACACAGTGTCTCCTGTGTGCAAAACAAACAAACAAAATGCTAAACCAATGAACAATAAACATACTTAGAGCAGACACCCCTGGCTATCACCTTAAACACCATCTTGGCAGTCTTCATTATCTGTTAAAATACCTTGAAAAGTCACAGTATTCATTTCCTAGGGCTGCCATAACACGGCACCACCAGCTGGGTGGCTTGGAACAACAAAATTATGTTCTCCCTGTTCTGGGGGCCGAGTCCAAAATCAAGGTGCCATGCTCCCTCCTTGGAAGGCTCTAGGGAGGACCTGTTCCTGGCCTCTCTCCTAACTTCGGGTAGTTCTTTGGCTTGTGGCAGCATAACTCCAGTCTTCACATGGCATTCTTCCTGCGTGGGGCATGTCTCTATGTTTAAATTCCTCCTTTTTATAAGGACACTAGTCATATTGGATTAGGATTCCGCCCTCCTCCTGTATGACCTCATTTTAACTAATTACATCTGCCACAACCTGACCCAATTTCCAAATAAGGTCACATTCTGAGGTCCTGGGGATTGCAACTTCAACATGTGAATTTGAGAGGGGGAGACACAAGTCAACCTATGAGAGTCACCATCACCCCAGATGCACACCATGTATAAGAAGCCAATACACGAGTGTCTATACAAATTACATGTATTAGGGAGTCGCTACGCTCATCCCTGAAGGAGCCCTAAGTTTTTAAGAAGAGACTCCTGGAACTAACAAAGGTGCCTAATGGATTCTTCATAGACGGTCATCTGCTTGCCAGAGAGGCAAGGCGGCAGCGGAGAAGCTGGGCAGAGGAGGCAGCGGATTCTACAGCCAGAGTAGGAAGACGCTTGATCTGTTTCAGATCAACCCCAAAGCAAAAAGCTTTCTTTTCAATTGCCATGAGAGGCAACAGAAAAGAAAAGGTAACTTATATACATTTTTTTCAAACGCATTCTTCATAAACACAAACACTCCTTCAAGGGAGGCACCTCGGGAGAGTGCCACAAAAATGGCGCTGACACGTTACAGGACTCACTTAAGAACACACAAAAAAATCAACGTCAAAGCCAGAAGCTTGGATGACTACGGTTATTTTTTACTTTTCTTCCCATTTCTCTGAGCTTTTCTCACAGAGGTGGCGTGAGGGTTCATTCTAGTGTGCGAGTGTGGAGGTGGTGAAGAGCCAACGGGTCCTTTAAGCGACTTAGAAAAAAATCCTTATTTCCCCATTACCTGTTCCCACTGCCTGTTCCAACCTTAATAAAAGAATCTTTCTCAGGTTCAAAAGGAACGCAGGCGCTATTGTTGCCACATGCCAACTGAAAGTTTATTCCTATCAACAGGGAGAAGATTAAAGACTGGGTCTACTTCATGTCATCATTTTGCGGGGGAAAAGCAGCACACCAGAATACAGAGGTGACTCTCCTTCACTAATAAAATAACAGGGCAGCTGAACACAGCCCTCTTTCACAAGAAAACAATGGTAGATTTTCTTTTTCTCCATAGCAGCTGGCATTCATACAAGAAATAAACAAGTGAGAAAATGTACATCCTTGTTATTTTTTATGACTAACAACAGGCAAAAATTACTTTTGTGTTTTGCCAGAGAGCTAAACTACAGCTACTTCAGGTTTTCATTATTG